TGTTGCACCGTCCGCCACAGGTGACGCTAGCGACCGAGAACATTCTAAAATAAAGGAGAGAAAGGGTGTGGCAGCAGTTTTTCTTCTCATGCGGCAGGCATCTTCTAGAGGAGGCGTTGGTGCAGCGTTCGTAAACGCCCGCCGCTCTACCGCTATTTTCGAGAGTTGCGGGAAAGCTCGCCGCCTGTCAATGGAGCGCGGGCGGTTTGGGGTGGCTGAGTTCGATATATCCATTATATGTCAAACGTTGTCCGAAATAAAAAATCAATAATGCATGCGATTTCCCGCGTGATATAGGAACCGTTCGATATAGGCAATAATTCTATATATCTGTGTTCGATATATTGAGGTTTGACTGTAGCCAGCAACTTCGGGAGCTTATCGCGTTTACTCTCATAATTTGTGCACTTCTTTCGGCGACATAGGGGCTCTGAAAAGGGGGTGCACGAATTACGCGGGGATTTCGTAAGCGCTAATGAAATAATGTGCTATAGTCCTAACACTTGCAGTATATACATTAAAAAAAAAGAAAATAATTTAAGCACAAAGTGCAGTGGGTTATTTAACAAAACTAGCTTGTGCTTTAACCAGACGAATCCGGTCACGCGCAGTCTAGTCGGAATCACTGATCGAGAGGTACAATTGGGAGTCATCGTCGAGGCCGCTGTCGCCAACCTCTCAAAACACATTGTCCTCGGTTCCGTCGAGCACATTTGAATGCCCCATTTTCTTGAAGCCCTTTTCGACACTGCTAATAAAAGAAACTAGCTTTCACAACACGGCGATACCAGAGGACCTACGGGTTCACACATAATCAAAAAGGCCTTCTTCAATCTTCAATGGCAGGAAACGAATTGGCAAGCACTCACTCTTCCGACTTCTCCCCTACCGATCGTGGCAATCGTCGTACGTTGAAAAACTCCACGCTAAAGTGCTTGGCGGCACCACAGTTCTTGTTTTCTTCGGAAAACTTTATAACAGCGAGCCTTAATTTCACCGTGTATATTATTATTGTAGCCCATCACAAGGAAACAAGTAAATCCGTGAAAGATGAACGGCGAAACAATCAACGAAGCGTGTGTTGCAGCGCAGACACAGAGAACGAGGGGAGCAGTCGACGGGATCTCGCACGCCTACAATGCAGAAAGTTGTCCATGACATGGCGCGAGCGTGCATTTTCATGGTGGTGGAGATGGGGAAATAGAGAAAGGCTAACGCTCGAAAAGTTCCAGTGACTCGTCAACAGGTTTGAGTGTTCGGGTATGGTATTCTATGGACCCTAGATCAGGGGACGTGCTCGGAAGAAGGGACTTTGCACTCGCAGCCCGTTTGACCACACTCGCCTGCTCGGCAAGGCGCGCCTGTGCAAAACACCCACAGTCTTTTTGTGCGCATGTCAATGTGCTTGCTCAAGTGCGTCAGGATTGCAAAATATGCAAGTTAATTAGTAATCTTTTTGTTTTTAGTAAAGTGGGCAAAATATTACAGGTGTGTAAATTACATTAGTAAATATGACATTTAGCATTTAAATATTCTTTTGCTGTCTATTTTTTTCGTATGTACAGTGGAACTTTGATTATACGTCCGGTCCTGCGACGACCTGCGTTTTACGACGAATTAGCTTGGACCCGGCAAAACCCTCATAGAACTAATGTATTGAAAACCTCAATTCTACGACGCAATTTCACGCCGGCCCCGCCTCCCACGACGCTTGACTGGACTGTTTGAGAAAAAAAAACCTACGATGACGCACGCAGGCTGCCACGCAAGTACACTGCGGCCGGATGAAAAAAAAGTCGGAAAACCGAGGAACTGGGTTCGTTCCTCCGCACGTTCTAGCACACTATCCGCGCTGCCACCGCTGCCACCACAGAGCCTCTTCAATTTTTCGACACGCTGTCGGCCATAGCTAGCCAGAGCCAACGTTGTCCAGAGCCAGCCGAAGTGCATTCGTTTTGCTTAGTCGCATTGCACTGCGCACTTCCGTTGGGGTCTTTTTTTTTTTTTTGTTTTCTGCCTTCTTTTGGGTGGTTTTGTAGTGACAGTTGTGAGCAGGTAACATGACACGATAATTTTGAGCTCGCTTTCTAGTATGCGATAACTTTCACTAGATTTCGCGTCGTTGTACCGGACGTGTTGTACGGCGATTGTTGAACCTGTCTACTGTACAAACCCGAATATAGGTCGAGATATTTTCAATGAAATAATAAGCTAAAGTCACCCCTCGTCTTATATAGCGGTGTCTAGGCGAAAGTGTGCCACTGTCTGGCAACATGTGGCTTGCATGTGCTTGAGAAGCCAGACAGGGCCATATCCGCACCAAAATCTAATTGCAGGCTGTTTCTTTCTCTCTCTCTGTTTTCTTTGTGTTCGTGATTTACTTCCGATTTGTTCTAAATTTTCGTTCCGCTTGACATTGCGCTGCATTTTTAGTGGTCTTTTTTTTTTCGTTCACTGAATATGAAGAGCGGTACGAGGAGGCAGTACTCAGCTGCGTTTAAACTAGATGTTGTTGAGTTCGCAGAAGCGAATGGGAATATGGCTGCTTAGCGCCGCTTTGGTGTATCGAAAAAAAGCGTGCGCTATTGGAGGGCGCAGAAAGAAAAGCTGCAGATGTGCAATCCTCGAAAAATGTCGTTTCGTGGATGAAGTGCCGTTCATCCGCAGCTGGAAGATAAGCTAGTGGACTTTTTGCAGGAAGTTTGTGCGCGCTCGCTGCCAGTGACTGTGGATACCATTTGCAAGAAAGTCATGGAACTCGCTCGAGAAGCTGGGCTCACGAAAAAAGAGTTTCCCGCACCGAACTCTAGGGTGCGTTGATTTATGCAACGCAAAGGATTTTCTCTCCGGCGGCGCACATCCATCTGTCAAAGGTTGCCGGAGGAGTTTGAAGACAAGCTTATAAACTTTCAGCACTTCGTGAACAGACTTCAGGAGCAGAACGACTACATGATGGGGCAGATTGGCAATGCCGATGAAACCCGTGTGGTTTGATATGCCTTCGTCGATCACTGATTGATTGATTGATATGTGGGGTTTAACGTCCCAAAACCACTATATGATTATGAGAGACGCCGTAGTGGAGGGCTCCGGAAATTTAGACCACCTGGGGTTCTTTAACGTGCACCCAAATTTGAGTACACGGGCCTACAACATTTCCGCCTCCATCGGAAATGCAGCCGCCGCAGCCGGGATTCGAACCCGCGCCCTGCGGGTCAGCAGCCGAGTACCTTAGCCACTAGACCACCGCGGCGGGGCACCTTCGTCGACCACGATCATGCAGAGCGGCGCCAAGGATGTGAAGCTGTTGTCCACGGGCAATAAGCACTCTCGCTTCACCATCATGCTGGCATGCACGGCAGATAGTAGAAAGGTTCCGCCCTTCATCATTTTCAAATGCAAGACAATGCTGAAGGAAGTGTTCCCGCCTGGTGTTGTTTTTCGCATCAACAAAAAGGGACACATGGACGAGGCCATGATGCTCGAATGGATAAGAGTAGTGTGGAACCATCGGCCAGGTGCACTGCTGCATCTTCGCAACATGCTGGTGTTGGATGCGCTTTGTGGTCACTTGACCGATGCTGTACAACGCGCACTCAGCAACGGGAAAACGGACCTCGCTGTGATACCAAGTGGTATGACGTCCACCCTCCAGTCGCTTGACGTTGTGCTAAACAAGCCGTTCAAGGACCGAGTGCAGCTGGAGTACCAAAAGTGGATGTCCGGTGACAACCCGAAGACACCGATGGGCCGCCTGCAGAGGCCTCTGCTTGCGACTGTTTGTGGCTGGGTGCTTTCCGCCTGGCTTCCTTGCCAGATTCCATTGTGGAAAAAGCGTTCAAGAAATGTTGCATCAGCAACTCGCTGGATGGCACGGAAGACGACGCACTGTAAAAGGCGGCCAGCGACAAACTCTCGTCTTCAGAAGACAGTGGTGCTTCGTCGGATGAATAGGAGCAGTTGCAATGGTGGTTGAGGGGAGCTCCGATGATCGGGGTGCGGAGCGCCCAGTTCACAAATAAATGTGGTTCCGCAGTTTTGGGTTGTTTTCCTCTTTTTTCCTTTTTCGGTAACCTGAACTTAGGAGGGGGGGGGGGTCGACCTATATTCCCATATTCCCACTCGATCTATAGTCCGATTTATACGGTACGTTTGTAACAGCCGCGGGAACCGGAACTAGCTGCTGTCTAGCTACCAGAAGCCTAGACAGCAGCTAGTTCCGGTTCCGCTACCAGAGTTCGGCAACCTGGAGCTTCCTGGATCCTTCGCGGACTATGTTGGTGCCGACGACGACTTTGCAGTGTGCAGTGCAGTGTCGCTGGATGACATTATCGAAACTGTGCGTCCTGACACTGCGGGAACATTCGACAAGGAAGAGATGGATGACACTGCAGAGGCTAGTGCGTACGTTCCGACGTACGCAGACGTGTTGTGCTACGTCGACAACATTCGGCGGTTTGCTTGCGCGCACGACGAGATCAGCGACTTGCTGCCAGATGTCGCAGCTCTCGAAAGAAAGCTGATGCATCGTGGCTGGGCAAACTTGCAGAAAAAATCACAGATATTTTTAAAAGGTGAGAATAAAGATTTGTTCACACCTCCGATAAAATGCGTGGTTGTCATTTCTTCAAGTAATTTAATCTACCTTCATCGGATCAGCGTAGATTTGTGCTGCGGACTTTCTTACGCATTATGTGACAACTGTTGTGGGGCAGCAATGACCATCAGTTGTCTTGGTTCTTGGTTTTTCGATTATACGATGCCCGGATTATACGACGCTTCTGCGTGGTCCCCTGAAAGTCGTATATTCGAAGTTCCACTGTATAGCCACAACAGACCCTTTACTTCTATTTTCCACTGAGAATTAAATTATTGAGTGACTGGGTCATGGCCCCTTTATAAAGCTGAACGTTTCATACGAACTGCCTGTCTGGTTGGGTTCAATACTTTCAAAAGGCTCCAACAAAACAGCTCCACCACACGAGACAAAGTTCACTGACCCTTGTCATGCTCTCTGCTGGCATGCCGACGGGCCAGGGAGCGCACCCGGTGTTTGCCCTCTGGCAGAAGAAGAGCCACTCGTTCCATACCGCTACCATAGACCGCCTCCTGCATGTCACCACAACACCGTCATTAAACACCGAGCTTGTCGACATTTCAAGGCAACCCTGAAAGGCACCACTGCAGAAACGTGAGAAAATCACTTTTCTGCCTACCAGATGTTTTTTACAGGTCAAATTGAAAAAAGTGTCAGGCCATGCAGAAAGCCCCTTTTTATAAACACGGCATGCGCATACACATGCGCACGACATTATTAGTGCATTGTTTTATACTTTTGAGTTGATGTGTTTAATGACTCTCAAAACCCCCAAAAGACACAAGTGAGCAGGTATTGTTCCATTTTGAAGCCATGACATATGATTAAGAAAGTGCAGCTCGGATATCGGTTGCCACTTGCAGCTTCCCGCAACACACAAATAAAAATGTAGGTGATAGCCACCTGGTACAAGTTGCAACATTAAGAAGCACAACACTTTTGGCAAGAGGGTTTCAATTGAAACGTTTCTTAGTTCATGCCCATGTAACTAAAGTAAAATTTCGTTGTAGCTAGACTTTGGAAGGGAGACTTGCAGCTTTGCTTAGGGGCGCTCAGATTCAAGGAAATGCAGAGCTGGGCAGTCTTCCTTGTTTTTCTTCAGTCTTTTCTTTCTTTGTTTTTCTCTCTTGCTGTTTTTTTTTCATTTTCTATCTCCCTTTATTTCTTATTTCAACTTTTTCATTTCTTCTCCATATTTCTAGCTTACATATCCACCCCCTTTTTTCTTAATTTTTGTACGTCGTTTTACCTGCATTACACCAAACAAGGAGGACACGGGTCTTGAAAAATATTTTAAAAGTCTATATCGATTGAGATGAAACTTGTCGAGTTTATGCATATTTCTGCAAAGATTTCAAACACAGTCGAACCTCGATATATCGAACAGCGCGGCGATCGCGAAATAGTTCGATATATCCAGAATTCGATATAAAAAAATCACGAAAAAAATGCGTCAACAGCTTGCTGAAAACAACCAACGAACCGTTCAAGCGTGGTGCAGTAAATACACACTTGAAGATTCAAACATAGTATTTATTGTGTTGGTTTAAAATATTGAAAAAGAGTAGCCTGCTTCTTGTTGGCCATGGCGTGTTTGACGACTGCGTCCTCAATATAGTCCAGGCGATCCATAGGTGATAGGCCGGTGCCTTCAATCGCGCCGCAGTCGCGGCGCACAAGGGCCAAGGCAGCTACGACCTTAGCTGATATCGGGAGCGGGGCACCATCAGCGCTTGCGGGATCCACCTCGGCAGAGTGTTCATTTGGCTGCTCAGCAGTAGCTTCGGCGACGATCTCCACATCCGTGAGCTCCGCCGTTAGGAGTTAGGCCTGTCGCGCACCACAGCGCGCGACAGGCCTAACTCTGAACGCAAGAACACTGCGAGCACAACGACCGATGCCTGCCGATGCTACGGGGAAGGAGCCTGCAACAAGTGCACAGTGTGCCGTTGACACCATAGAGACTGCAACAACTGCAAGCAGCAAGGCTGCGGCGTGAGTCCAGGTGTAAAGCGCGCACATGGCGCGCCCATGCTGGCTCGCCTGACTGCTTTCTCTTTCCCGGCGGCAGCGCGGGCCACGTCCGAGACAGTCGTCTGCGTCCTTTCCCTCCTATACTTTCCTGCTCAATCTTTACCTCCCACTCCCCCTTCCCCCGCGCAAGGCCGTGTCGGTGCCTTCGTATTGAAAGACAATAACAGCTCCGCACTTTTCTTTTCACTTTCCTCATTTAAGAACCTCTACCGCAAGGCTGCGGCGCGCGTACGCCGCTACGTTAAAGTGGCGCTCTCGGCGCCATCAATGTGTGCAGGCAACGCCTCCTCTAAACAATGCCTGGGGATGGCTCGCGCTCCCAGCGGAGTTGGCCTGCCTTCAGTTCTGAGCAAGCGCCGCGCGGTGGCGCTCGCGACCGAGACTATTATCACGGCAGCGGGCGGTACCAGCTAAGCGTTTTTCATCTGCGGCCCACAGGGGCGCGGCAGTCGAGAGTTGTTCGAGACCTGCAACTGTACACCGCTATTTCGAAGGCTACGCAAAGTGTTGTGTTGTTGCACCGTCCGCCACAGGTGACGCTAGCGACCGAGAACATTCTAAAATATAGGAGAGAAAGGGTGTGGCAGCAGTTTTTCTTCTCATGCGACAGGCATCTTCTAGAGGAGGCATTGGTGCAGTCATTCGTAAACGCCCGCCGCTCTACCGCTATTTTCGAGAGTTGCGGGAAAGCTCGCCGCCTGTCAATGGAGCGCGGGCGGTTTGGGGTGGCTGAGTTCGATATATCCATTATATGTCAAACTTTGTTCGAAATAAAAAATCAATAATGCATGCGATTTCCCGCATGATATAGGAACCGTTCGATATAGGCAATAATTCTATATATCCGTGTTCGATATATTGAGGTTTGACTGTAAGCAACTATTTTTGTAGTATAACGTGCAGTTTTTAAAATATGAAATGTTTCATTAGATTTTTGGGAGAAATGTTTGCCTAGACTGAGAGAGTTACAAAGCAACTAAGCACATAAATATCACCTAAAATGAGGACAGAATACACAAAAACAAGAATGGATGTTCTAAACACATTTGAACAAAAGTTATGATGCATTGAACATTCGCCAAAGAGCCTACGTCAAGTTGGGCTTTTTGTCAAAATATTAAACATACCACAACTTCAGTTCAAATGGGCTCAAAATGATCTCCACAACTAAACGCTCCAACAAAAGCAATGAGCGAAGTCAGGCTACTGCCATCGAAGCAATGAAATGCCTGCTACACAGACCTGTGGTGAAGGAGTGTCTTCGTCCGGTAGTGCGAGAGGAGGCTTGTGACCTGGCCCCGAAAGCTGCAGCCTGCTGATGGCCTCTGTTAGGTGGTCGAATTGCCGCAGGTTCAGTTTTCCCGGCTGCTGCTGGTGATGGCCCTGTTGCAGGAACAGGAAAGGATCGTATTGTGCTCATATAACACTTGCGGAGTACGTTAAGAGCATACAGATTGGGACTGGTCAACATATCACTGAACTTGGAAGGAAACCACTACGAAGCATGATCAAGTGCCACGTTTGTCACACTTTCAATCTGTTTATTCAGCACTATTTCCTTCAATCTTGGACTGATATACAGAAAAGCCTCATTCATTCAAACTCTCGCTTACTTCGGATTTCTACAGTCTCATATACTGCAATATAAATTTGAGTGAATAATTTGAAGTGGCGGTCAACACCAGTCCGGTCAATTCAAAAAGTTTGGGTGTCATGTGTCAATTCCCAATTCCAATTTCCCCAAGAATCCGTGGAGACAGCGGCCTTTCGGAGTCACAAGGCAATGCAGCGCAGCGGTACTGATGAGTGAAAACTTAAGCACCCCAACTGCACTTCTGCCAGTGCAAAGAAAGAAAAAACCTCTTATGATTAATTAAGATGCGCAGTTGCGGAAACAAGGACGTGCTTCACTGCACCACAGAAGTGACATGTGGGCAGCACATCGCATGCTTCTCGCTACGTCTGCGCATCATGATTAACCCATCCTTTCTGGTAATATAAAAAAACCGATAAAGGTCTGCATGATTCATTTCACGATGGATGCGAACTTCCGATTGGCGGTTACTTTGGCAATTTGCGCACTTGCGCTAATGGCAGAGTTCCTATTTGCAACTTCCACTATTTGCAACTTCCTATTTGCAACTTCCTATTTGCAATTCCTATTTGCAATTCCTATTTGCAACTTCCGAAAACATGGTTTTCAGCCAAAACCTATCGCGAATTCCGTCACACTGGTCATTATTAAATTTTTATTTTACAAAAAAAGAATGGGCGAATGGTTGTATCACGATGAGCCAACGCTGCGAGGAGCAACTAACATGCTGCTTACGTGTCACCACTGTGTTGCAGTGAAGTACGTCTTCTTTTCTGCGGGCACACTTTTTAACTGACCTTCAGACTTTTTTTTTTTTTTTTTTCCCGCTGGCAGCAGCGGTGCTCGCTGTTGACCTGTGTTAGCGGCAAAATCGGGCCCAGGTATTGTGAGAAAACATGGCCCTTAAAGCTGCGAACTAGCACAGTAAATGACCACCTCTGACTACTTTCAATATTTTGATGTTTCTTGCATCCCACTTCTTGCATGTTCTGTTCATTCGAAAACCCGCTTAATTCGAAAGATTCTTCGAGTTTCCAGTGACTTTGAATTAACAGGTTTTACTGTAGCTCGCATCAAGTAAAAACAAAATTAAATTCTGGAAGCTTTAGATGTCAAAACCAAGATACAAGGCCCACTGCACTGGAGGACTCTACAATAACTATGGCCAACTTGGGTTTTAGCATGCAAGCATCACAACGACTGCATGACCCACTAGGTCGTAAAACATCTGTGCTGTTGATAAAGGGAAACACATTGCCCCAAATCGACAGCACATGTACACTACTCATGGTATCCAATACAACATCAAATTTTTTTTAGTACAACAACCTGTACATGCAATTGCTCGAAATGACCACATAGGATGAACAAATCTGGTCCCTAAAGATAATGTTGTCAGTGATGTGTGTTCCGAGTTGAAATTACGCCCATACGAGCCAAACTGACGACTGTATAGACGGAAGTGCGCATGTAACTTATCCCTAAATGACCTTGTTTCGATCCACAAGCCCTGTACCTTATGATGAGGGTGACCATTTGTCACGCAGGTCCCGTTAATTAGGGAGGCGATTGCCGGGCTAATTCCAAGGGCCGAAATATCGGCCCCCCGAACCGTACCACGAAAGCGTGGACAATTTAGAAGTGGTCCTTTTTGGCGCGCCAGCGGACGCCGGCTGTGGCCCAAAGAACAAATCAGAGCCGAGAGTTGATAAACAAACAAAATTATATTCTCACTAATGGCAGATCGAAAACAATACACAAGTATGCACACTCCACAATAGTTGAGTACAATATGTCACCAATTAAACAACGTACTACACAGTACAATCAGCCACACTCGAAACAACGGACACAGACAACAATACACACTACTATGCAGTCGCATGCATTGAACAACCAAGACACTTAAAGACTAACGAGATAGAAAACCTATCCAGTCCAAAGTTCTTGGAACAAAAGTCTGGATGATATTCTTCCGAGAATCACTCACTCAAAGTCCCGCGTTGTTGTCGTTCCGCAGCCCCCGAAGTTTCTCGTCCAGGAAACCTCGCCGAAGTTTCTCTTCCAGGAAACCTCGCGTCTTCAATTGGCCACTCTCCAAGCTTCAAACTTCTTCGCCGAAAACATGTCGGCTTCACACACGCAGCTGTTGCCACGAGTCTTCGCTCGATAGCGGTAAACACACACTCTTGCCTGTAGCTCGAGTCGTCACCCCTCAGGTGGAAATCACCTCCTTCTCCTGCTTTGTCTCTACGGACAAAACCTTCGCCGACTACATGGCGGAATCCCTACGTGCTCTGGCGCTAACTTCCGTCTTCTCCGAAGTTTCTCTTCCAGGAAACCTCACGTCTTCTCCTGCTTTGTCCCTACGGAAAAAACCTTCGCCGACTACACGGCGGGATACCCTACGCGCTCTGGCGCTAACTTCCGTCTTCTCCTCCGAAGTTTCTCTTCCAGGAAACCTCACGTCTTCTCCTGCTTTGTCCCTACGGAAAAAACTTTCGCCGACTACACGGCGGGATACCCTACGCGCTCTGGCGCTAACTTCCGTCTTCTCCTTCGAAGTTTCTCTTCCAGGAAACCTCACGTCTTCTCCTGCTTTGTCCCTACGGACAAAACCTTCGCCGACTACACGGCGGGATACCCTATGCGCTCTGGTGCTAACTACCTTCCGCGTGACATTCCAGAAAGTTCTCATCATTTCGTCAGCGCGATGCACAGCGGAGGCTGGGGGAAGGCGCGAGACTGTACGAGGGCCGTCCCCGACAGATGACTCAACCCGGCATAACACGCCCCTTTCCTTCTAGAAATTTCGAGTGCTTGCTCGGCCGCCGACGTGGGGTGAGGAGGTTCGTCGGCGAAGCCCCGCTTCCGAGGGGAGAGAGTCGCGCGCCCGGGGAGCCTTGGATGTTTGTTTTCTCTTTTTTGTTCTTTTATCGTTGACCTCGCGGCGTCACTCCGGCGTTTCGTCGCGAGAATTTGGCGGCGCGCCCTTTTTGAGCGCTCGTTCTGTGACACTGCCCCCCACTTTAAGAATATTATCTCATAATATTGAAAACCACACAAACGAGCGCGAACAGTCACCACGCACTCTCAAAGACTGTAACACAATCCGTCGCTCATGACACTTCACATTCACAATAGATCGCTCAATACAATTGTACATTGTAATTCAATTCCACAACACATGAAACATAGCCACAGGTACATGAATGCAACACTCCATCACATATTCCAAACAATACAAACGTACAAAGTTCTGTCTTTACAACAATTATACAACACTATACATCACATCATCGCACAGAACACTTTGACTCGCTCGACATACACTTGTGACACAGGATAACAAGAACATTAACACAACATATGTCACTCAGCCCTGCCAAACACATTCTGATTCCACCTCAGCACCTATCCTGTGTATTTCGAGCTGCGCTTGCGTCCTTTCTTGCGGTGCTCGCTCGATCTCTTCTTGTTTTTCCTGGTTCTTTTTCGGCGAGCCTTTTCCAACGACGGGGTCTGGGGCGGCGTCTCAGCCATCGTGGTCACTTCTGACACTGTTAACGGGTGATAACGCTCAACCGATCCTGTCACCCCCTTGTTCATGTCACGACATTGGACCTGGCTGGCCGACTCCGTCACCTTTACACTGTCTGTCGGTTGAGGTCGTGCCGACGTACGTCCAGCTGCCCAGCACGTAAACTCATTCAACTCGATCATCTTCTCATTCCCTGTCTCTTGCGCCGCGGCTTCACCTTGGGCTCTAGTGAGATCCGTCACGGGATGCTCCTCCACTGTATCTCGCGGCCGCTGGGTTGGCGAGGGCTCTATCTTCGGGTCTTCTCCCAAGCATTCCGGATCATTCGGTCCTCGCGCCCCGTCGATGTTTCCGATGACAAGGTCGTACAGGGGGGTCGTCATGCATGAAGCAGTAACCTTCCCGCTGAAGTACGGGGTTTCAACTTCAATTTCTGCTTCGGGAAGCATCCGAACCGTACGGTCAATTAGGCAAACCGGTTTCGTTTTGCCTGTTAACTCACTTTCCCGTACCAGATTTCTCCGCACGATCACAGTGGAGCTGCCGGTATCTCTTAACACCGTAATCTTTTTGTCCGCAACTTTTCCAGGCAGCGTTGGCATTCCCTTCGAAACACCGGTTGGCTGTTTTGACATTACAGCACCCACAATAGGAATTTTCTCCCCATTTTTCAATTCTACGAATCCATTGGTGACGGAATTATTACCGAATTTCGGTGCCGCTTGCACACAGGATACCTGGTGAGTTTGACTCACTCCGTTACGACAAGCGTCTGCTTTGTGCCCAGTCTGACCACACTTGAAACATTTTACTACCGTAGGGCTCGTAAAGTTAGTACGACAGTTGCTCGCGCGATGACCCACTCGGTTACACAGAAAACATCGCGGAAGACTCTCCGGTGCACGCTTCTTTTGTTCGGGTGCCGAATTTTTCGAATCTTCGGGACATTCCTTCTTGACCTTAGCCAAATTAGTTCCACCTTGAGCTTGTGGGGATCTGAGGCGCGCCCGCGACCATTTTCGCGGGCATTCCGCCACACGGCCACACCCTTTTGCTTTCCTGCCCTGTTAACACCGCGTGGCGATAGATGGCGCCACGTGCGGGCAAGTGGCGCGCGCCGAGGGAGCGGGCTCTTCTCCGTTGGACGGCGCCGGGTAAGCACGTGTTTTCCTTCGTCCGCGTCCCCTTTGGGAATCGCCGGACTGCAGCCTGCCTGGGGTGGCCTTGGGCACCTCGGCAGGCGTGTTT